CCTCCCTGGGCGCTGGGGGCGCCTGGCCGAGGAAGCCCTCGCGGAAACGGGAGGCGGGAGCGCGGCGGCCGGGGTCGGGGGGAATGGCCAACGCCAGGGCACCCGGCTGTGGCGCGGGTGACCCCTGAGGAAACCCGGGGTCACGGCGGGGCTGGAGCACCGGGGAGGACAAAAATGGGCAGAGCCACCCCTCCTACCCCAGGTTTCTCCTGAAACTGCGCACGCCGGAGGGAAATGCGTCACCCAAGTCGTGCTTTAAATTATTTCTGATGGCTGGGGAAGGAGAAGGGCCAGGGCTGCGGCAAGATCAGGGCAGCTTGCCTTGGTTGGCACCGCGGGACTGAACCGAACGTCTTCCGGTCCCTGGGTCCTGCAGGTGCCAGCAAATCTTTTCCAAGGGGGTTTATATACAGTGTTTGTTTAGGCAGCAGAAATTTAGAAGATAGCAAAAGGAGCACTCTTCACATTTTGACAGCTCTTTCAAAAGCAGCAGGTTATATTTTGTCATCTCCTTCAGCATTCACTGTGTTAGCCAGCTTTCCAAGCTACTCTCCAGTGGAGTACCGTATGCATTTGAAATTATTCCCGGATCATTGCTTTTCCGGGGTATCACAGAATTCTTGTTAAATTCACTAACCTTTCCCTAGGCGTTTTCTGTGAAAGATTATCAGTTTTACAGCCAAGTCTCTGTCCCAGTCCTTTGCTAATGGCTGTAATGCTCTGGAAGCACTGTCTTTTTTACACCTTTGAGTTTCAAGCTTACTGTTCTGTGCATCCAAACCCTTCCCTCCTTTCTGAGTGCCATTGTAAACAAAAACTGGATACTGTTTGAATGGCTGGGATTTTTTTTCTTTTTGAAGATAACGCCATCCCTTCAGAAATTATTTAAAATAGCGTTTAAGATTTTTTTATCAAGTCTGTCTAGCAGGCGTTTCTGCAGTTTCAAACCTGGGCACAGACAGGTGCCATGGTATTTCCCCACTGACTGAGATTTGAGGCAGGGAGTTTTTTTTTTTCTTTCTTCCAATAAAATATTTTTGCATTCAAAATTCCTACATTTTCAGTTTGAGATTCCACTAGCTGTCCAGTACACACTGCAGCTACTTTCTTTGGCCTTATTACCTGTAAAGCTGTGAAGCTAGGAATAAAATATACAAAGGCTCAAGATAAAATCAAGCCTTTCTTTTTATTTCCATTTGAGTTTTTCTACAGTGCGGTATATATGAAGAGAAAGACGCTTCATCGATACGCTTTCTATACATTTCTTATTTAATTGGTATTAGGATGAAAAATGCTATTAGGTGGGGAAGTTAGAGTATTTCTATGTATAAGGTACACCTCTCTCTCCTACCTACTTAGCCCATTCACTTCTAAACTGCTCCAGTACTCCAGTACTGAAGTCAAGCTATTTGCTCCATTTCATCATCTTAAAAATACTTCTGACATTAGTTTCATTATAACCCTCTGCAGATAGCTAATCCATCAAACTACTGCCTACTTCTTATTAAATCCCTCCTAATAGCAGTGCTTCTCTGTCATTGTTATTATAAACATAACTAAACCAGAAAAGCACACTGCCAGAATTGAATGGCTATTTTTATAGGGCTTAAAGCTTCAACGTGCTCTTCCACCCTAAGTCTACTATGAACGTTTTCTGACACAAACCCACTTAAAGGCTCAGAACGCCACTGAATATCGTCAGTGGAGGAACATTCTTTATCTGAAATCCAAATGTTGTTGGACCAAGAAGGAAAAGGCAACAATGACACATTAAAACGTAATCCCAGTAAACTTGATTCACATTCTACCATTTCTCATTGTTTTTTCTGTTACACCTCTTATTCTCCCTGAACTCGGAATTTTGCTTTTCATCCCTACCAATATATAGCAATTTTTCAGCTATTTGTCCTGATTCTAGGTAAAGCAGTTTTTTCAAACTTGAAAGGCATACTTCTGTGAATAAAATATGCTCACTTGTCTGAATTAGGTCTGAAATTCCATGTTTCTTGAGAGAGGCACTTGATCATTTAGCTGTCTAAAAAGCACTATGTTAAAAGCTTTAGAGCTAAACCAAATCATTATTCCTAAACAAGAGTCACTTGGGACAACAGAGTGTCAAAATTAACTTCAGGAAGGGTGCATCTCAGGCAGGCATAATCATGCTAATACTGTTCCTTAATTACAGGGGCTAAAGAACTTATTCTACCCCACTCTGTGCTTTAACATGAAGATAGATATGCTGTTTTCCTTGAATGGTAGTACCAGTATATTTATTGTTAGAAGGTTTGCAAAATAATATAAGGAGTAATAGAAACTTCTGGCAGATCTTCCTGTAACAGCACATGTGCTTCTCATGGTCTAGACCTTGCTATGCCCTGTGCTGTTCCTTATTTTGATTCTGCATATTTTTCATTCAGCAATGGCATTTTGGAACAACTTCAGTTTACTAGAACACATGGAAGGACTCAGATGTGTTTAATGCTACACAAGGATAGTGAATAGAAATTACACATGACTGGCTTTTGGCTTCCCATCTGTCTCTTAAAACTATATATCATTGTGATACTCCTCTGAATCTATCATTCTCGTTGGCTCACACTCTATTCTGGTCAAAGGTTTAAAAACGTTTATTAAAAGGAATGCTTTTCACTAAAGTAAATAATCTCTTGCAGAAATCGTGCCACCAAATCTACTAAATGGGAAGAACACACAAGTTTGTATAATACACAACGAAACTTGAAAAATCTCTCTAAGAGGTACTGCTTGTTGTCCCCATGCGACTACACAGGTAGTTGGCAGTCAGATCATGGCAAGTGGAAACATCAAACCATTGGATTTCCTGCAGCATGACATGAAACCCTGGCCAAGAAAGGCACGGTAAAAATAGGTTGATCATTTACAAGCATCTAAAAGAAAATAAGAAAGTTGTTTAAAGAGTGGTTTGATGACAGCAAGAAGGACAGAATCAGAAGCAAGGGAGCTATTCATGCTGTTGATAATCTAAGTGCCAAACTGGCAAGCAGCCAAGGTGCCTACTAGGCAGGGATCAAAGACACATATGGTGAGTCTCAAACAACAAATAAGCCATAGAATTTTGGCAAGCATTGCAGGAATAATATGCTCCAGCCTTGACAAAGAAGATGAGGGCTAAAGAAAAAACAACTGGGCTACCAACGGTGGATGATACCTCAGGGAAAGCAAAGCTTTCATCATTTCAGTTTTATTGGAGAAAAATGCAGATAACTTCTCACATATGGTGGGTCTGGTTGATCTAAATTGATGGGAAGTGTAACATAATGTTAAAAAAGATTCTTTAAAGTTGTGGCAGTAAATCAGTATTCCATTAACAGCAGCATCGTTCAGAAACAGCATTCCTCAGAGAGTTAGTAATAGATTTACTGTGCCAAAGTAAGGCTAGACCCCAGGTGATAGACACCTGGCATTTGAAACAGAGACAATCAAGAGGAAAGTCCAGGTTACGTCTTGCCAGATGTTGAATTCTGCTCTTTTCTATTCTTTCACCAGTTCAATCAGATAGCAGTTTTTTTGCCAACTAGATAGCAGTGTAGAACATACAAGCAGACAAAAAGAATTCAAACATTTGACGCCATTGACATCTGACACCGTTTTAATTTTACTCTACTATTAGCAGACCATATTAAATAAAAGAAGGAAATTCTGTGAGTTTAGACCTACTTTTGTAATCACAAGAGTTCTACAACTATTCACAGAAACAAAAGAAAAGAACGTATCATAAGCTGCGTAATTTTATATTTATGAAGGACACTGCCTCTTGCTTTTGTAAGAATGGTATTCTGCAGCTCTTTGGGTGGTCTTTAAAGTGCCAAAGTTACATAGCTAAAAATTACTGTTATGAGGCATATCAAAGACAACAGAGAATTGGGGCAGAAAGTATTTATTTATGGATAACATTTCCATGTGAGGTATTTCCATAACTGACAGAAATGCTGACGAACCAACTACGTCCTTTGTCTGACACCATCCT